GATCTTTCCCTAAATGAACGTTTTGATATTTCCCCAAACATTTCTCCTTCCTTATACTTAAATTATAAATCCTCCAACCTTGTGCTTAGGTGTCTCAAATGCTCCCTGATGCTCAATTTTACATCAAGCAGATTTCCCAGCAAGAAAAAAAAAATACTTAAGTCTAATAAGAACTTTAGTGCTTGCTAATACTTAACAAGGATGAGAAGTCTTCTTTCTAAACAACAAATATATGAATGCAGGATTCTAGTCCACTTGACTTTGTTATGGGAGTCCTAGAAGACCTCACCCATAACTTCATTCATTCTTTAGTGTATCTAACATCACAACCACATTTTAGCTAAAATGTTACATTCCAACCCAAAATCTAGACAACATAGTTATGCATCAAAAGTATATTATGCTGTAATAAATGCTATAGTTCTGGTGCGACACTGATTGAAGACTGATGTTGAGGGGAGAAAACATAGAAAATGTATTTAAATGTCTGTTAGATTTGCACATAGAAGAACCCTCTAGAAAGATTGAGCAGGTAATATTTCCAAGAGGAAAACTGATTATCGTTAGCTAAATTCTCCATGAACCTTTTTTTTCAAAAGGGAATTGAGAGCCAAAGAGCCTCTTACTATTAATTTTAAATAGCTTAGTTCTTTTCAATTTTTATTCAGCGTGGCTGGTTCCCTGTTGGTTTTTCACCCAGCGCTGATCAGATGATCCACTTCTGCACTAGACTGCATTAAATATCTTAGGTGTTATTGCGGATTGCAAAATATCAAATACTGCTAAGAGCAGCAGAAAAACGGAATGATAAATAAGATACTTTCTGAAAACTTGGTGGAAAGCATGAAAAAATAAATGTCATAGGACTTCTCCTTGAGAAACTACACCAAAGGGAATGCAGAAAAGGCCTGACTCTTGTCTTCCTTTGGGTGGACACTGAATACATAAAGAGAAGGTCTTCCCAACCAAAAGGTGCCTAGGACATGCCTTATTGGTGTCACTTTATCCAAGAAGGACCTCTGTTTCCTATATTGATTTCCATTTTGGAAAAGCCATTATGGGTCTGGGCTGTTGTATACATGGCAAGGCCCACAACAGACCCTTAGATGCACCTGCTGCCACTTACCATCCAACGGCTCTATTTAAGTGACCAGATGGAAGAGTCTTTGCAATCTCTCCTGCTACAAACAGAACAAAAACGGAGCTCCACACAACAGTATCACGCAAGTCAGTGGAGGCTAGTGTGACAATGGTGGAGGAAATGGACCAACCCACGACAGAGTCTCAAATTATGGAGTCAGCTTGCCCCACAATTCTTAGCCATCTCAAGCAATGGATGCATGCCGATATGTGCAATATGTGCCTAAAGTTCAAATAGTGACTCTGGTTTCTAAGCTCCACTGACAAACAGCATTCCTTCCCCAGCTGCCCAGAAATGCTGTCAAATGTTGTTGAGTTGGAGAAGGAGAAGGAAGAGGAGGAGGTAGATGTGAAAGTTCTTACAGCACCAATTCTAGAGGTTTGCTATGTGACAGCAACATACTGCTCAAAAACTGATGCTATTAGGAGTTAGATGATGACCAGATCAGAAGATAAGAGAGAGGGGGGGGTCTCTTTCCTTATTTCTACCCTAAGCTATTTCAAAGCAAGGGAATAAAAAAATCCAAAACAAAACCTAGGAAAAAAACACTAATTACCAAAAGCCTTTGTATTTTTGCCTGTGACAGGGACATATTTTTTTTTTCTACCAAGGAACACCACTGATGTCACATGCTAGTACTGTAGGAGGTGAATTGTCTCATGACATATTAGTTTTCATGACATACTATATAGCCCTGACAGCTTAGGGAAAGCAAAAGCAGCAGGGAAGGGAAAAAATCAGTAAGGTGGGAGGAAGAGACCAAATACTTACCTATCCATCCTGAGACAGGATATTGGACAGCATATAAATACATGCTGACCAAGAAGCCTAACACCACCCACCGAGAAGCAATTTCTTGAGCTGCTGTGCCATCTTAAGGGAAACTTAAGATGACTAAATGGAGCCCTTCCATCTGTGCTTTTCCAGGTCCCCTCCCATTTTAATTACTGTACGGTACTGAGAATCTCACTTAAGGTACCACAGGTGTGGAAAAGCAAGCACTGTGGATTTACCCCTAAACGTTTACATGTTGGTGGTACAACTGAAATTTGGCTTCGAAGAGCAAGTCTGAAAATTATACTGCTAAGAGGCTTTAAAAAAGCTCTGCAGGAACACAGGAGTACATTAGCTGGCTATCTTCCAAAAAAAAAAAAAAAAAAAAAGTGGATGTACTTTGCACTATGAAATATTAGCCAAGAGAAATCTCTAAGACTTGCTTAGAGGGAATGCCGAGATGCAGAACATCCTTACAAAACAAGTGATTTGGAAAACAATAAGTAGATATTCCTATTTGATGATCAGGCATCACTTCCCAAGACTGAGTGACATGAACCAGTTTCACCCTCTTTGACCACCTTGTTTGAAGGACTTGAATAGACATCATTTCATGCAAAAGTACATTCTTGTGAGACCCTGGATAAGACAGGAATTTTCAGATGTCTATTTAGAGATCCTCCCAGTTCTGTACTCAGTAATTTTATTTATATATCTCAGCCAGACACAAATCCCTTACTGATTCCTTCTTGCTCCCAGTTCCCAAATATATTATTCTGCAGCTAGTTAATTTTTCCTCCCTAACCCAATGCAGATCTTCTTGCAGCCTTGAGGACTAGACCAGTGCTTGTTCTCGCTTCCTAATTGATACTGCTGGGCTTTTAACTCAGTATCAACAGCCTTGTGGGCAGCCCATAATAGCCTTAAAACTTAAGTAGTCACTGAAGAATTTGGCATGCAGTGTTAAGACCATCAAACTTCACGACAAAGAAAGGAAGAGAAAAAAATATCCACAAAATGTCTCTAGTATCTTACCCCTGAAAAATAATGGACATCATCTACTAAAGATGCATGGGAAAGAAGTCCCATCAGTAGCAAATGCATTTTAGATAGTCATCTGGCAGAGAAAACTTCTTGTATATAGCTCATCTCGCTCAGTCTTTTAACAGTACTTTAAATGCTGGCTTGATCTTTACAGCAAAAGGATAAAACCAATGCCAGATTCCCCAGGCATGTTTTGGTGGACTAGTAACACAGTTTCCTGCTATCCTATCATTTGTGCCTTCCAATATAAACACCCCCCCCACACACACACACATAAGCGAATTACTCTGCTGTAGAAAGGAACAGGAATAGCTTTGGCAAAAGATCTACACCATCACCCCAAAAGATACCAACAAGCACTGTAAGGACACACTTTTTATGGAACGGACAGAAAAGAGCTTTGGAATTTTAATGGCAATACTTTTAAAGGTGCATTCCTCTTTCCTGCCTGCCCAGACTTTGAAGCAGAAAATCAGGAAGAAGGGGAAAAAAAAGAACAAACCCCTCTGAGATCTCCACCTAAATGCCTGTCTGTGTGTACCTCCAACTCTCTGTATGTTCCTCTAAGGTAGCAGTTCCTGGTTCCAAAAAGTGAGGAGGAGAGTTGCTGATATCATCATCACAAAATTATAATCAAGAGCAGACTTCTCAAATCTTGGCCTCTTGAAAAGCATAAAAAGAAGCCATTCTGATGATATTCAAGAAGGAAAGGGAGAGCCAACCCTCCACAAACTGCTCAAACAAGACAAAATACAAAATGAAAATGAAAACTGGGGAGCACAGCAATAATTACCCAGTCTCATACTTCCAGCAGAGGAGACATAAGCACCTAAGTTTGCCTCTTCACTTCATCCACAGATAAACCTGTTGGATTCCTCAGAACAAAAACACCCAGGGACCACAGCTCCCAGAGCAGGGAGCTTGAACAGGTGGACGTCACCCTGAGGCTCAGGTGGCACATAGCTTTGGCATGGGGACAGGGTGTTATTCTAGGGTACCCACCGTGAAAAATGTAAGTTCTTCTAACTCCCTAATTCCACAGGTGACCTTCCAACATCCCAGATCCAAGCCTCCATCCCAGCTCCAGAAATTATTCCGGATCTGCTTCCTAAACCAAGGAGACTGCAGCAGAAAACTGTTTCCAGGATTCAAGTTTAACCACAGGTTTCTGAGATCTCTCCCGCAGCCCAAACCCGGGTCACTCCTACGGTCGGTCGCACTTAACCCTACAGGCTTCTGCTGAAGCCCTCACCCCCCCTCCCTCCAAATCCAAAGCTGAAGGCAATTGCCTCTGCCCTTAGCAAAATCGCAACGGCTGTTCTCGCCTGCTGCCTCGGAGTAACCAAGAGACGCCGATACCTGGACAAAACCGCGGAGGAGCTGAAGGAGGACCAACCTCTACCGGGCAAATACCACCCCCCCCCCCCCCAAAAAAAACCCTATCAACACTTCGAGGAGCTTGTGGTGGAATAAGGATGCTTAAAAAAAAAGAAGACGAGCCTGGTCGACCCTTCTGAGCAAAGGTGGCCAAGAAAGAGCTGTTGCCCCCCCCCTTCTCCTCCTCCTGCCCTTCTTTCCAGGCGTGCAGAAAAGGGCATCTCAAAAGCCTTCTCGAACCCCGCTTTCACCGTCAGCGGGCAAGAGCAAAACTCATTTTTTTTTCCTTTTTTTAGGGGGAGGAGGAGAGAAGGAGAGAAGAAAGGAAAGCCGAACAACGCAACGCAATGTTTCCCAAAGAGAAACGCACACCTCGCCCTCCACCACCCCACCCCACCCCCCTTCCCGGGTCTCCTTCTCCCCTTCGGGCAACGGGGAGAGAGAGCCCGAGAAAGGGACAAGGAGCAGCACCGGGCACCAAGTCGCGAGGAGTTTCTCCCGTTCTCCCCCCCGTCCCCCCCCTCTTTCTCTTTCTAAGCGCAGGTCGGGCGGGCTTCCCATCCCGGAGTCAGTCCCGAGGATAGGAATTTGGGAAAAGTCACCAAAGGGAAGGAAGGAAATCTAACGGCGGGGGGGGTGGGGAGGGTCGTTGTCTCTCGCTTACCTTGGCTGAGCAGAAAGAAGCAGAGCAGAGCCAAATCCGCCTGGAAAGCTTTCATTCCTCGGAGTTGGCGGGAGATGCGAGCCGAAGTTGCGCGCTCGAGCCCTCGGGTCGCCCACGGTGGTCGGCGCGCTCGCCCAGCGATGAGCCGCCGCGTCCGCTTCCTCCTTCCTCTTTGCCTCCTCGGCTGCCCGGAGCCCCTCGCGAGCTTCCCCCGGCGGCAGCGGCCACGGCGGGCTGAGCGGAGCCGGAGCGAAGCAGCGGCAGCGGCTCCTCGTCCGCCTTTTGCCTCGCCGGCTTCCCCGTTCGACTGGCGAGCTGGCCGGCCTCGTCGCTCATGTACGCGCTCTCCGCCGCTCCATTCCCGAGTCTCCGAGCCTCGCCGGCCGCCTCCTCCTCCTCCTCCTCCTCCCGCGAAGGAGCTCCTCCTACCGCCGCTGCCTGCCTGCCCGCCCGCCCGCCCGACTGACTGAGTGACTGACGCGGCCAGCGGGTAAGGCTTTAAAGAGGAACTCCTGGCCAAGGGAAGGCGGGCGGGGGGAGCTGCGCGCGTTCCAAGTTTGGCGAAGCGGCGGCGGCGGCGAGAGGCGAGAGGCGAGAGGCGGGCGGCGCGAGGTGGGGGGAAAGAAAGCTTCGACCGTTCCAAGTTTGGGGAAGCGGCTGAGGGGAGAAGCGAGAGGCGAGCGCCTCGTCCGTCCGTCCTCGCCGCTCCTCCCAGCCGAGCGAGGGCTGCGGTCCGGCGGGCTCGACTCAGCGCTTTCTGGGATGGCGGCTGGGCGCGGGGCAGGCTTGGCTTCCGGAAGGGCCACCTGCTCTCTTCAGCCCAGCAGGTGCAACAGCAGGAGGGCCGCCCCGCGACGCCCCGGGCCCAGACGGAAAGCCCTGGCTGGAGGCGGTTCTCCTCCTTCGGCCGCTCGCGCCTGGCCGAAAAGGCGGATTGGCAGCCCGCCCGCTTCACCCGGGCGAGAAAAGTCCGCGAGACCGGAGCGCAGCTTGAAGGAGCCTTACGAAGCGCTGGCCGCTTCCAAGGCAGGCGGGCGGGCGGGCGGGCGGGCGGACGCAGAGACGAAGAAGAAGAAGAAAAAAAAAACCCGCAATTCTCCACCAAATCTCTCCTCCGAGGTCCAAGACTGACCTAGCCTATAATGGAGGAAGGGAGGGGGTCTCTAGGATTGTCAAGGCAAAGCTGCTGGCCTGTGCCCTTCAGAAATGCAGGTGGTCCTCAACTTAGGACAGTTCGTTTAGTGACCGTGCAAAGTTACAACGGTCCTGAAAAGTTAGGGGACTTGTGACTATTTGTCACCCTCACAATCATTGTGGCATTTCTCTCCCCCCCCCTCCATCACCTGATCAAAAATTCAGATGCTTGGCAACTGGTATGGATTTAGGAAGGTTGCAGTGTGCCGGAGGCTCATGTTGCAAACTTCAGTTAAGCAAAGTCAGTAGGGAAGTCATATGATTGGCTGAACGACTGCACTGATTCACTTAACAATGAAAGGTCATAAAATAGCACAAAACTCATGACTTAGGATGGATTTTTCCTAGTCACCATCACCTTTGCAGCATCCCCACGATCCTGGGATCAAAAGTCAGATGCTCGGCAAATGGTTCCTATTTTTGACCTTTGCAGGGTGCCGGGGATCACCGGATCACCTTTTGGGACCTTCTGACAAAGCAAAAGGGGGAAGCCAGATTCACTCAAAGCTGGGTTGTCAATTTATCAATTGCAGTGATTGGCTTCACAACTGTGGCAGGAAAAGTCATCCAATGGGGCAAAGCTCATTTCACCAATGTCTCACTTAATGGGAATTTTGGGGTCAGTAGTGGTCGTAAGTCAAGGACTACCTGTATTAGGTAGTAGACGGCAGGGTCTCCTCCCTCCACCTTAGAGAGGTTGATCCTGCCTAAATCCCTTGTGGTCCTTTCCTAATTGGCTGAGGCTGAGTTTGGCCACTTGCTAGATCTTCAATGATGGGCAGAAAAAAGGACAGCTGGGAACTGTAATTTTTAAAGCAGGCAAATCAGCCTTCTCACCTGCTCATCTCTGCAGAACAGGCTGAGGTAGATGCAGAAGAGGGAAGGCCGTGGAAGGCCTTGGCAACCTGAACACCTTCTCCCTGGAGCTGCAATTAAAGAACTAGAAGGAGAAACTTGACTGGCCGCAGTGGTACAAATAAACATGTTTGATTCTGGCTCTCCCCCACCTGCTTAATAATCCTGGTTCTCTTTGGGCCGTGAAGCTTCTCCTCTCCCGTTGGAAGATGAAGGGGAGGCTAGAAAAAGACACTATAATTTGAATACCTGAGGTAGTAGTCAGTCATTCCCCGATACCCCACGTTCCTGGAAAGCATTGCAGGTGACTCACTTGCTTAATTACTCTTGAGACCAAACCCTGAGCTCATGAAACCACCTATCCTGGAAAGCACTGCTGGAAAGTCAGTGTGCTTAAATTGTACAATCTTCAGGTCTATATAGATCAGCGGTTCTCAACCTATGGGTCGCGACCCCATTTGGGGTCGATCGACCATTTTTCGGGGGTCGCCAAAGAAGGCGATCCGCCATTTTCTCCCCTCAGGGGGTGCCGCTGCGCATGCGCGCTGCACATGGGGGGTGCCACTGTGCATGCACGCTGCGCATGGGGGCCGCCGCCGCGCATGCATGCCGTGCATGGGGCGGGCCGTGCATGTGCGCCGCACATGGGGGCGGGCCGTGCATGCGTGCCACGCATGGGGGCGGGCAGCGCATGCACACTGTGCATGGCGTGCGCATGCGTGCTGTGCATGGGGGCGGCCACACACGCCCGGCGTGCATGGGCACGCATGGGGGTGCGCATGGGGATGGGCCGCGCGTGTGCACGGCGCCGCGCGTGTGCACGGCGCCGCGCATGCGCACAGCGCCGCGCATGCGCGCAGCGCCGCGCATGCGCAAAATGTTTGTGTGACGGGGGTCGCCGTCACACAAACGTTGAGAACCACTGATATAGATAGTCCCCAACTCACAACAATTCATTTAATGACCATACAGAGTTATGACCGTTTTTCACACTTACACTTATGGTCACCTGGTCAAAATTCAGATGCTTGGCAACTGGCTTGTATTTATGATGGTTGGAGTGTCCTGGGATCATGTGATCCCCTTTTGTGACTTTCTGACAAGCAAGGTTAGTGGGGAAGCCAGATTCACTTAACATCTATGTTTCTAACTTAACAACTGCAGTGATTCACTTAACAACCGTGGCACTAAAGGTCATAAAATGGGGCAAAATGCACTTAATGTTTCACTTAACAACAGAAATTTGGGGTTCAATTGTGGTCATAAGTTGAGGACTACCTGTACAGAGTTGATCAGCCCTGCCAGACCAGCCTCACCTGGTCAAGGCAGGTCAAGGCCAGAAAAACACTTCATCTGTTACGTTTCTTCCTACCTGTTGTGATAGGCATATTAAGCTTGGCAGCTTATCAATCATTTATTGGGCTCCTGTCAGGTACATACTATAAATCTGTTTATATATGCTTATCCTCTCTTAAAGATGTTGAGACAGTCACACAAATGTTATAGATCTCACTGTAAGAACGCATTCATTTATTCAAGGACTCATCTGATTATCTGGGACTTTTGTAATGGGATAATGAGAATTATGGTTTATACCATTTTTTTTTTTTGGTATTACAATTGGGAATATAGTGGCATTTTTATTGTTAAATGAATGATAAGACTTAAACAAAACAAAATAATAGTTATTAGGTTATGGCAGGTTGTATATGAACCTGAGTTATCTCTGATATTGAAAAATTGAATAAATCTTTCAAGAACAAGTGAACCAGCTATGAAAATTCAATAGAATTGAAATGCCTGATGCTATTTTTGAACTGTATGCAGCAAGTATCAAATGAGAAGGAATGTCTAGACAAAGAGAAAGCACAATGGAGATTTTTTTTTCTCCAAGTCTAATTTCTGATAATTTAGTATGCCTAATTTTATTGTTTTCAAGGGATCCGACAGAGTTGTGTCCATTGTATGGAGGGGGCAACAGCTTTTCCATATTTAAATTATAAGTGGGTTCTTATGTAAAACAGAGCCAGTTTCTCAACTGATGCCTTCTGATTGGGTCTTGATTTCAACTCTCTTAATTTCCAGGCAATATGGTCATTGACCCAGTTGCTGGGAGCAAAGAAAGTTGCAGCCCCAAACATCTGGCGGGAGAGCAAATTTTAATTATGTTTTTAATTTCTACATTGCCCATTTCACTGAGGTGACTCTGGGCAGTTTACAGCTTCATTATAAAACTATATACATACATGAATGGAAGCATACTTTAAAATCTGAATTTAAAACAAGTAAAATGATAAAAAAACAATCAAGTTAAAAAAGGTTAATAAGGCAACAGGAATGCCCTCAGACCACCAGCCATCCCCAGGGCTGCATCATAGTTTTAGACCTCCATGCTAGTTGGCTAGTTTTTCCTTTTCCAGAATAAACCAGCCTCTGGATGTTAAGATGTTCGACAGGGCTGGGGCAGTACCTAAGAAGGCCCTTCTCCTAGATTCTATCAGTCGAATCTCCTTGACCAATGGGTTACATAGCACACCCTCCCTGTTGACAGGGTGGGATAGATCAAAGTCATTGGAACAAAATAGATCCTCGGGTTTATTAGCATATCCATCTGATACCAGCCTAGATGTCAAGTGCATGACATCACAAATTACATGAATTATGTAATTTGCATGTTTCTGTCACCGATGCAAATTGCATAATGTTTGCATTGTTCGTACGAATGTGTCACAACGCATGCAACATCCTTTTTTTATCCCCAGGGATGCCAGTGCAAGTTGGAAAACGCTGCTTTCAGAGTTGTGGAAGTTGCACCAGCTGCTGCAACTATTTATTTATTTATTTATGAGACTTATATACTGCTTTAAGTGCAAGCACTCTCTAAGCGGTGTACACCAGTAAGCAATGTATATATATATTTACATTGCCCCCAACAATCTGGGTCCTCATTTTACCTACCCCGGAAGGATGGAAGGCTGAGTCAACCTTGAGCCGGTGAGATTTGAACCGCTGACCTGCTGAACACAGTCAGCTAAAGTGGCCTGCAGTACTGCACTCTAACTGCTGCACCACCTCGGCTCATAAACTGTTTTTCTTACTTGTGGCACTAGTGAAACAAGCCACAGCTGTTGAAAGGCTATAGTTCAGTAACTCAATACCTGCTTTTCATGCAAAAGACCTTCAGTTCCTTTCCTCACCCAAGACAATTGGGAAAGACCTAGCGGTAAGATTTTGAAGAACCAAACGTCTGTTCATGTGGCACACCACACTATGTATCAGTCAACCACTTTTTAGCATGTTATGTGAAATCAGTGTATTGTGTGAAAAAAACAAAATAAGAAGATCAGG